CTCCTCCAGCATCTCCCTTCTCTGCTCACTGTGTTGCTGTGATTCCCAGGGAACTCCAACTTGGTCTACGCTGTTATCCGCAAGCGCAACGTGTTCCACCAGCTGGCCAACCTGCCCACGGACGCCCAGGCCATCCAGAAGGGGCTGCAGCGCAAGAGGAAAACCCCCGAGCCCATTTCTCGTACCAACTCCCAGGATGGGGTCTCCATGGAAGGCTCACGTCCTGCTGCTCCTGCTGAGCCAGGGACGCTGAAGACAAGTTTGGTGGCTACTCCAGGTCAGCTTTAGTTTACTTTTGGAACAGGAGAGAGATTTGTTTTCTCTGGGAGATACGGCATTGGGCTCACCCTTTCACTGGGCGTGGGAGAGATTAAGAGTTTACATCTGTGAGTGACTTAGTGCTGCTCAGCCTCAGTTTCAGATCAGTTTGCCCAAGCTGGTCACAAACAAGTCAAAGTAAACTGCCTTGAGTTTCTCTCCTCTCAGACTTAGTGGCCATTTGCCCTGATCTAGACCTTTTGTCTCAGTTTAACTCTATCCGTGTGAGCCTGTGTTGCCCTTCCATCAGGGAGCATTTTCCTAGAGAAAAACTCCTTTGGGGTGGTGAAATTAAGGCTAGATCTTTCTTCTCCAGTTGCAAGGAAGGTGTAGCAGATGTCAGCACATGCATGGGGTGTCTGTGCATGGTAGGGCAGAGAAGAACCCCCTGCTTTTAAAAGTATTTCATTCACTTGTGTCTCTGAGTCTTTTCCTCTTTTGACCACAGGAATCGACAAGCTCACAGAGAAGTCACAGGTGTCAGAGGATGGGACCATGCGTTCATTGGAGCCTGAGTCTTCCCAACCTCTGCCAGAGGGTACCCTGCCCTCAGCTGGGAGTGATGGGGAGGTCTGGAGTGGGGTAAGGCCCCACACTGGTGTGCAGGGGAGGGTGTGAAACCAGTTACAATGGGGAGAAGTTGGAAGGAGAGGTCTAGTTGGCCCCCTGAAGAAAAATGTGATATTAGAGGCAATAAGCACATGTGAACTGCACTGGAAAACAGTGGTTCAGAAGTACTGTTGCATCATCTTGGGTGTTTCATGTTTGTGCTGGTGACACAAGAGGTAGGACACTAGAGGAGTGAGCGTTCTCCACCTTGAAAGCTACTGATAGAGCAGCAAGTGCGTAATTGCAAAGGGATGTATTCCTGATCCAGAGGCTTCTGGCTGCTGCTTCTTTTTCCTCTCCCTGCTTTCTGGGATGGAGAGCTCTAGCAGAGTCTTCTGGCTGGCTGGTGGTGTGAAAAATGTGTTCTCATGAGGGCTTTGCTGAGATGCTGCCCTCAGAGTGGTGGCTGCTTGGCCGTGTAGATGAGACAGGTGTTGCAGTTTGGGAACCAAGGCTGTGCTGGCCTCCTAGGCCCTGGTGGCAATGCCAGCCTTCTGGCATTTGCTAGTTTTTCCATGGAGAGCTATAGAACAGCATCTTCTAAATTCGGTGGAGCAGTAATCTTTTATTGCTCTCTGTTACCTCCTCAGTTCCTGTCCTTTCCTGCCCAGTATCAAAAAGCTCCAGGTTGTCTTGTAGCAAGTGCATTGAGCCTGTCCTGCCTGTGCTCTGCTCCTTCTGCAAGGCCAGTGATGCAGCTGGCACTGCCTG